TCAAAATACTTGCAGTACTTTGTGTCTTGTGTTTTCCCTCCACCATTTCAGCTCTTAGGGTCTCTTGCAGGAAGGATCTTTGAATAGTTTTGCATCTCATATGTGTGGACGTGTGCATTGTCCGGAGCTGCAGGAGAAGTCTTCCTGTTGAATATAACATCATGTCAGAATAGCGCCAAAAGCGTCCTAAACCATGCATGCCATCGCTTCGCCTAAACCCTACCTAACCTAACAATCCCCAATCAGGTTTGCGTTCCGAACAGTGGCTGCAGTATCCAACCGACTCCAAGGTCCCGAACTGCTTTCCTTCAAGACCTCACCCATTGCGGACCTTCCTGCGGACCGGGTGACTTCTCCAACCCAATCCTTCGACCTGGATCGATCGACGATCGGTGTGCGAGGGCCTTGAGGGCCCGAAGTCGTGAGCCCTCAAAGACTCGTTGGGCTAGACGTGGAACGTGGAGATGTGAGTATACAGAGTCTCTCAGTCAGAACCCTAACGAATTGAATGCAATCCATTCTAAAGCCAACCTATTCCCTAAAGGTCCAGGACCATCCGAATCGGATGTCCTTTGACCCCCCCAAGACCATTCTCTGGAAGTACTTTCACCTTCAAGACCATCCTCAGGAGGTACCTGGACCCTATGGGATTCTTATGTTGTACACGTTTTCTTCGAACCTATGATGATAAGTCCTTGAGAACTGAACACATGGCACCACGTTTCTCGGACATCGATCGGCCGAGGCAAAAGAAACGTCCACGATCGGCCGAGGGATCAGGCACGAGCGGCAAGGGCAATTGTTCTTTTTTTTTTTAAATCTTTTGCTATTGTATTCTTTTCTGTCGGTGTAGTTGCCTCTGCCCTTGGTGAAGATTTTGACTGTATCGTTTTCTTCAATACGAGTGGAAGCATGCTCGTCCATCCAGCCTTGTATCATACTCTTAAGTGTCCTGATGAAAAGCTGCACGACATTTGCGTGTGTTCTTGTGATGATGTGATTGATGGCTTCGTCTTTAAAGAACTTTGAGACTACTGTTTGAAATGCTCCGTCATCATCGCTGTATTTTGACATTGGAAAACCAATCTTCTTGAAACTTTGCTTCAACGCTGGTAAGACCGTTTCTCCGTCTCTCTGCTTCATAGGCACGACGTCGCCCATCTTACTGAATATATCTATAACGACTAAAGCATAGGGTGGCTCGGAATTCTTCCTTGGTATTTTTGCCTCCGGAACTTTCGTTAAAGGCTTCATATGCATTATGTCAATTTGATACTCAAACCTTGAGAACGGAGCGGTGTATGAGTTCGAACCTTTGTATCCTCTAATCTGTTTGTTGAATCTGTTTGTTGGGTTGTTTCTGCATAAAGGTTTCCACATCTACCCTCGTGATGGACGGGTCTTGTTCTTTTGCTTGTTTTAGGGTGTCTTGGATTGACCCGAAACCCTTTTCCAAGTCGTAATAGGCATTGCTTATTTACACCTGCGGATTGTTCCGCCGGCCCTTTTGGCCGCAGCGAGGGGGGGGAGGGGGGGGGTCAGGTTAGACCGTTCAAAAATCCGCCCGGCGGAGCACTAAAACAGACAAGACATAGCTTAACAAAGAACTAACAAAAACCAACTACCCAAAACACGCCGTGCCCCAGGGCCGACGGAGTATCTGTTCTTTTGTTAATATTCTTGCCATTATTATAGTTTTAGATTTTAAAGATGTTCTTAAAGAATAAAACATATAATACTGTACTTAAAGAAACAATGATATATAAAAGTAAGAGAGTAAAGATGACTAAATTTGACTGTGGATGTCGGATAATGACAGAAGTTATTTCCTTGAATGAATGGAAAGAACCGAACTGGACTTATTTGTTGAACACATATGTGAATATGTGTGGGAAGTGCGGGAAGAGACAGATGAAATTCCAGCCAAGAGGAGTTCTCCCCCAAGTCCGTCAAACAGAACAGAGGTTCTATGAGGTTCTAAGAATTATCATTTCCAGAGCAAAACCACCTGTGTGTAGAGGCAAATGGTCATCCAAGGGCCATGCCATCCACTTTCATGATGGTTCCAGGGAGGGTAGAGGTTGAATTATGTCCATTATGTCTATAATATAAGGTTCTTATGTATCATGTCTTATATGTACCATGATTGTATCTGTCTGTCTTCGTATAAAAGGTTTTAAGGGACAGATACATCATGATACATCATGATATGTTCCGGCCTTGTCAGAAACAACCCCTCCAAGTCCGGAAAGGATCTGTGTTGGTTCACCAGTTGAGAGTCACCTGACGACGGGCCCTGCGGGGCGAGAGCTTGAGACCCTGCGGAAACACCACAGTGCAAAGAAGTGTTCAATCATAAGATGTAGAAAGATCCGCAGGACTCTGCTCGAGACGCCACATCTACATCCAACTAGCAAAAAAAACCGCATCTACATCCAAGTAATTCACTCAACGACCCAGAGGCCCTAGAGAACCGGCTTGCTCGGGGATGACCTCTGGGTAACCCGGGCACCGCTTTTTCAAACCTTCGGCCCCTACGATCCGAAGCTGGCTCCGGTTCCAAGGCTTGCGTTCTTGGGATACTTTCCGACTAAGAGGAGCAACAGGGGTCTTCCGGCCATGCATGGCCATGCCATCCAGCAAACCCATGGCCATGCCGTCTCGTCAGAGTGAATTTATCATCGGAGGAGGTCCGAAACTCGGATGAAATAAGGGAGATTGGTTTCTATAGAGACTTGTCTTGGGATCAGTCATAAGCCTTAGTCCTTGTCATGTCACTGTCCTAGAGCTTTGGTGTACCAAGACGGTGACCGCGATCGCACGACCAGGAATTGCTCAGGGGCTGGCCAGGATTGGCGCGAGTGAGAGCAACTGGCGGGGGGTCCTAGGTGGTGAAGAGTCAGTGGTTTTGAGATGTCTTTCTCACGCAGAACCACACGCCACGAAAGCGGACCGGTGTGAGTGGGCTCGGTATTTGGAAATACATATATTGCCCTTCCCCCTGGAAGGCTCTAAGAAAGACATTTTGAGGACCCAGTACGAAGTTCATAGTCAATTTCACTGGGCGTGTAGATGACTGCCAGTCTTCTATGCAGTTGAGGAAGGAAGCACATCGGGAAATAGACCTGACAATACTCTCCCCCGAACAGGTGTTGGGTGAGGTGGCATGGGCGAACAGGATCACAGCGGCATGCTGCTATGACAAGCCCATACTACTTCTAGGATCCAGGCTACGGGGTTCCTATTGGATAGTTGGACAGCTATGGGCTATGGCTATATATGTCCATATAAGGTTCTTCAACCTCTGTTGCTTGGTCGACCCTGTAGGTTGGGTCGAAAAAACCTACCAAGAATGGCCTAAAATGGTCGATGGTTGGACCCAGACCATTGAAGCAACGGTGGTTGGAATTCCGCCAGACTCCGTGTTATATATAATGAATATCATAAACCCCAAACTCTGGTCTCCGAGCTATCTGTGTTGGTGATTTTCAGACACTTAATTAACACGTCCCAAAGACCGACCGACCGCTTCGTGCCCATCACACGTTTCGTGCCCTTCTTCACCTCCGTGCTAGCCTCGCTCGCGCCGAGGCTCACGGGCCGAGCGTACTCCAAGCGCTTCTATGAGATCTTGAAAGCGCGGAGGAAGCTTCCCTGTCGGGACGCCTGCAGGGGTTTTGTCGCGACTCGTAGTATTCTACTACGCGACGCACGTGTAGTACACGACACGCTCGGTTTTTCGAGCTCGAGAGTACGGCAGAAATGGTTTTGGACGCCAACTAAAAGAAGTTTCCCTGAGGCAGAGAGGTCAGACCTGAAGATTTCCGTCTTTGGAAGGTGCATGGAGCTGAAACATCGGCAATACGAAGAGTATGTTCTGCGTGGCAGTTCCCGCGACTCGTCAGTTTGGCCTGTGACATCTCTTGTGCTGCTCCACCGTCAGTTCGAGTGAATGATTTCTTTTGATTTCTGAGGGACGCTGGTGAAAGAAATTGAAGATCAGGGTGGGAATTGAGTGCCTCTACGCCTCTTGCGACCTCATTGCCTTACCCCCACATGTCTCCACAGACTACATTGAATATATCCTGGGTGGAGCTCTGCATGGAAGAAGGCGGAGTTGTGCTGATCCAATCATTCCTCAGTTTCCCTCATCACTGGCATGTTGGGAGGATCTTTGTTTTCATTCCGCCGTATTTCTTTGTAATCTTCCTGGCAAAAAGAGCCGTTTTTGTTGCATGAGAACGGACTAAAGGACTACAGTACGATGCATTTCTTCCAGTTGTTCTGGACCTCGTGTGCCGCAAGATCCCTCGCAGGTTGGGAGAAGCAGGAACAAGCGGTTGAAATGGCCGTGGCCTAAGACACCGGCGCCCACTGTTCGCCGTAGAAGACCCCCTGGCGTGGCGGGAAGAACGAGCCGTGAGGTTGTTTCAGTGTTTCTTACCGTTGAGCGACTCTGTCCAAGTCCTTGCGTCCTTGCTAAGAGCGACCCTGTACGGTCTCCTGTTTGGGAAGGAGTGCGGCAGCAAACTTGGTCGATTTAGAAAGGCTCCGAAAGGCCAGGTGAACGTCTTCTCAAACTTCTCAAGTCAAAGCTACGAAGTCTTTGCTTTGGCTTTGTGTTGGCAAGGGTCTACTTGCGAAACCGGTCAGAACGCACTCAGAGTGTTAGACCATGTTAGACTTCACCGTTTTCCACAAATTTGGACCTGACAGCCTCGAGACAATCGATAATTGAGAGTTGATTTGCAATGCCTGCATTGGTTTCTCCCTCTGTTTGGTAGCTCAACAATCATTTAGCACTTGGACATCCTGCCCACGTGGTTTGGGTCCAGGGAGATGTTTCATGGCAAAGGGAGCCCAACTCTGCTGGTGACACTTCCCTTGAAACATAGGATTTCGCAGATGACTGCAACTGCAACCCTAGATTTGGACTCTTGAGCCAAACATGTGCGAACCATGAAGCCACTCCCCTTGTGCATATTTCCGCTCGCTTTTGGGGCTCCAGCTTGGTAGACCTTTCAGCAGCCCGCTGATCGGTGCTGGGTGGAGCCCAATGTTGCTGCCCAATGCGGTGGAGGCATCGAACTGTTTGGACGCCTGGGGAGGTGTTTCGCCTGGGTGGACGTATGAGGGAGAAGCTTTCGGCATCCGAGCTTGTGATCCGCATGTCTCACCAGAATGACGGGACTCTCCGAACTGAAACATGTTGAAACCCAATCCCAACCCATGTGTATGCGAGTGTCACTTTTTGACCCGCTCATACTCAGTTGTGGTAACCCTGGTGCTTGTTGCCGTATCATGCCAAAGCAGTTCACAGACATGTGGAGATCCATCAACCTGGTGAAGACCAGCTGCATGCAGGAAGTGGCCACCAATAGCTCCTTTAGAGGAGAAACCAGCTCCTTTGACCACATCCTTCCCGAGAAGAAGCCCAAGGAGAAATCGGACATCGACATCGACATCGACAACTTCGCTTCTGTTTCCCCCTTTTCAACAAGCGATGCAACAGCCGAAGCCCCATGGGTCAAATGAAGCAGCGAAGTTTGTGCCATGTCGTGGACGTTGGCGTCGGCGTGCAATGACGGACGCACAGAGAAAGGTACCTTCTCCGAAAATGGATGGTATATATGGATGTAGAATGATGTAGATGGTCAGATAGCTAGTGGAGTTTCATGGATGGCTTTCCAAAACCATTCAATGTGTTTTTTTTGCGTGTGGCTTCCCCTGCAAGCAAGGCCGGACACTCCCTGGGTGTGCCCCATCCGAAGTCCCCGATGTTTGTTGAAGTTGCTGCACGTCATATCAGGTTTCTAAGCCTTCGGAAGGTAACCGCGCTGTTGACCAGTTACGCCATGCCAGAAAATTCTGTCCTGGACCATTCACTTCAAGACGATCCTCTCGAAATTCACTCGATCAGATCGGGAGCCGGTTTTCTTTGGTTCTTGTAGCGCAGGACGATTCGCAGGAGCTTGAGAAGCAAGAGAAGCAACAGCGACAGGAGCGGAGGCAGCGGAAGCGGCAAGAAATGAAGGATATGAAGCAGCGGAGCCTCTGCTTGGAAGGGGCGGCTCCGGTCGGCCAGGGCGAAGCATGTTAGGTTGTGGAGCAACTCAAACACCCGATGGATGCTCCTATGATTTAGTCCAGCTTGCCATTGTCTGATTGGTGCTCAGTAAGGAATAAGGAAATGAGCCCCCCCAAAGAGATTCCTGTGGATCCATTCGCTCATTCCCTGCTTGAGCAGCGTCAGTTGTTTGGGGTCTTCACAATTCTTGACCAAACTGGTTCCAAAAAGGTCGCCCGAAAAAAGGGCCCGACTGGACCTTTGGATCATCTCGGAGTTGCCTCCTGAGCTCGGTTTCAAAAGAATATATACTCCTCAGATAGATGTCAACTCGGTCCAACGTCTGGGAAGGGGGAGTATCCCATAGCAATGGCCTCCAACCTATAGTAATAATAGTAGTATTTGCTCTTTTGGATGACGGTCACAGTGCCCGCAGACTTCCACTCTGGCACGCATCGTCGAAGCCTGACCTTTCCAATTTCAACTTCAACACCCGACACATTCAATTAAACGCGAGCTTCGCATTCCAAGGCCCAAGATGCCGCGTTCATGCGCAAGCATGCACGGCAGGGGTTGGTCAAGGCCTGCGAGATTTGGTGCACCCAGTCGATGGACAAATCTTGGATGGGGCAAGCGGCTTTCCCAGTGCCCCATCAAATCCTCCCTTGCGAACCATTCGTGAACTCCGACGTATGACCAATCCTTGCAGCCATCAACGGCAGATGTGAGCAGACGCAAGGTTTGCCTGTGACTCACAGACCGCCGAGCTTGCATGAAGTCAGTTGCTTGGTTTCAAACAGCCGTGGGGTCAGCCTGTTGCTTTGTAAGTCGTCATTGATGCAATAACTTTCCAGAAGGTTCCTAATGGGCAATGTTGAAAACGTCCTCTGTTGGGGGCTGCCCAAGTGGAGGATGGAGATCTCAGTGCGCAGCGCTTGCCATCCAGTCATCAAGCGGGAGAAGCTGCTTCGTGTTCGATACAAAGACACTTTTGAATGCTGACATGCTGCTGGTGTTGTACCATAAAACCGGGCAAGACATTTGTCGAGAGAACTTGGCCGTCCAAAGAACAGACCTTTTCCATGCATATAGTCTACGCCATGCATATAGTCTACGACCTGTTGGGAAAACCATCCTCTCAAGACTGCTGCTGATGCGCATTTGTGAATGCACCCACCCCTTCTTCCTGTCCAGGATGAAGGTCTCCACGCTCAGAGCTCCCAATCCAGTGTCCACCTTGAGGCTGTCCGCGCTCAAGATCGTTTGTGTTTCAGAGCCATTGCAGATCATTTCAAGTTTATATAAGATTTGTTGGCTTCAGTTGACTGCTCAGGACGAAGATCTGATGGAAGCATTGTCATCCACCCTGACAGCACAGGCTTGGATCTTTGCCAGGTTGAGTGTGTGAAGTTGGCATACATGCCCCAAAATCGTTGTGAAGTCCTGGAGACCTGGAGTGAGAGAACTCAAGTCCATGAGCTTTCGTGGTACTATCTGTAGTGCCCGTTGACTGAATTTTTGATGGTTTTTTCGAAGTCCACTGACCTTTGGGGTTTGCACCATTACCTTACACCCCAGTTTTTTGGTCGCCCCCAAGTCTTCAATCCCTTGAAGCAATAGGGCTCGAATAGCTATCCTGCTCTTGTTCTTGTCCAGTGTGAACATCCCCACGCTCATAGTTCGCCGTTGACTGCCCACGTGGAAGCAGTGACTTGATAATTATATGTTTATGCTGAATGGCCATCACAAACGCGCTTTGTCCGCCTTGGGTGACTGCTAAGGACGAAAATATCTCAGAGCCCCTCGTCCCTGTGAAAGCAGAGGCTTGGCCACTGCTTGCTTGTAGCCCTGACCCTTGCACTGCTGCAGGGCTGCGTGACGCAACTGATGTGCATCCTGCCCTTGTTCCTGTCTAGGGTGAAGATCCCCGCAGCCCGCCTTCGATTGCCCACGTGCAAGAAGTTACCTGGCTTGGCCTTTCATTGTCTGCTTTTGGGATCCATCGTTCATTTTGACAAGGCTTGTATACACGCCACCTTTAGGCTCCGATTGTTACAGGTAAACAGGCAGCACCTCGAGCCTGCCAGCGCTGACAATTCAGTACACTCGGGGAAGATGAAAAACCTCGAAATATTTCTTGTCTGGTTCATTCGTGTTGCAATAGCCTATATACAAACTGCCAACGATGTTCGACTCGTGGGCCAAGTCTACTGGTTATGATGCCGGTGACGCGTGTCCATCCCTGCCACTGACAGCGTTAAAAAACCGCGCGGGAAGCTTACGAGTTTTTTCCTCGTAGGCTTCCTGTCCAGTCTTTTCCACGCGCGACCCAAACATATGAATACTAGTGTGCACCTATCAAGCGAACTGCCACATTATCAATCGATCCATCCATTGTTATACCTATCCGTTGAATGCGCACAATCAAGGCCATCTTCTTCTCCTGCTGATTTTGCTTTTTGGTGACATTCCAACCGCTGCGCAGCGAGCTGGCACCAAGCTCACAAAGGTCTTGAACACGACACCTGCCTCCGCTGCTCCGCACGCAGTGCGCCGTGCTTCCTTGGCTAACCTCCGCCCACGGCCAAAGCGCCCTCGCACGTAGTTCAAAAACATCGCGTGGGTCTTGCCGTACATATTCTTCGATGGTTTCTTTTTCCTCGCCAAGCGATTCTGATTCTGCGACCACATACGTCCACGCGAACGGTATCAGAATCACACTTGGCTCAGATTCACCCCGCCCGCGCGACGCTCGGTTCTCGCATGACTCCCAAGCCTGCTTCTGCCTCTGCTGCCCGCAAGGCCGGATTGCCTTTTTCTTTCCTTTGCTGTCTTGTCCCCATTTCCTTCTATGGTTTGAGGCCTAATCCACCGCAGCCGACGCCGCTCCAGCGACCACCGTGCCGTCCTGAAATCCCCACTGCCTCGCAGCCCTTGTCTACAGCAGACGCCTCCTGGCCAATGTCTTGCTGCGTGTCTTACCTCTGTCTTCTCTTCCCCGGTCGCGGTTTTCTCATATCTTTCTCGTCATCCTTCGATTCCCCTCCACTTTACATTCTTTTGCATTCTTCTTCTCAGGCTCCGGCGACCATGCCCAATGCCCCGACGCCCGGCGCTGCCACCTCCCCGCGTGTTTCTTGGTCCGTGATTTTTTTCTTCACCCTTTTGTTGCTCTATCGCTATACTCCTTTTCCATACGACTGTACATGTATACTGCTTCCATGTTGTCCACCTTGTCGACCTCCTACCATCAGGGTACTGGACGCAAACGGCGCTCTTTGACCACGGATGGATTTCCGACACCACCTCAAGGCACAGTGGCAAGGCTTGACGATCATCCCGTACGCGGCCGATGGTAAATTCGTCTTCAAGCACTTCTGGAGCTCTCCCTGCCATGCCATCGTCTTGGATCGCCCAAACGCTTACCCATGCCCGTTGCGCAAATTCCGCACTCGCTTCGACCAGTGCTTGAAGGAGGCAGGCAAGGGCGGCAAGGGTGACACACCGAAAGGCCAAAATCCATCAATGACCTCACCGCCTTCGGCTACCTCTTGCGCACAGGTCCAGAGCACGGGCGCCGTACCCTACCGTATATTGCAAGACACTGCGCTCCGATGACGGCCTGGCTGGCCTTCAATTCAACCGGCTTTGGAGTTGGTTTTGGACTACTTGGAGCGTGCTTGCAGGGCGCCGGAGTATGACCCTTGCCTATGGCTTTTCCTCTTTTCTTCCATTTGCTTTTCTCATCTTTCTTTCTTTCGTGCTGCTTGACCCGATCCGAGGCCACTGCAAAGCCCTCGGTCGAAATCTTGAACAAAGCCACACTTAGATTGTTGCTCGCAAGAGCTAGGATCAGTATGAAGTCCCACTTTACACGCATTAGACCTTGA